GTGTGACAAGACCACACCAACCAAACTGCCCACGCCATGGTGATTTGTAGATCCGGTACACTCAACCAGAGTTGAGTGTGGTAAAAACCATATATAGGCTTGTATGAGGTTACATGCACTCGGCGAGTTGGTAACAAAGCCGTGGTGAAACTATGTCGTGTGGCCTGGGGTTACTTAACGAGCATCAAATCATTACTATTTCTAGTTTTTTAATATAACATAATGTTGACCAAATTGACATGATTACCTAACCATTTCAACATTATGGTCATCAACATAACTGTTTACTCAACCAGGCAACCCCACATTGTTACATTCAAACGGTCAATGATGGTTGTAGCATTAAATTACTTTGCCAATTGAAGATCCATTGACGCTTCGCATTTTAGCCTTCTATTAAATGAGGAGTGCACTTGCTAAAACTGTCTGCGCTTATCAAAGAGAAATCCCTTGTCTAAATTTTGATGAAGATAGTAGGTGACTTCTAACCAGCTGGAAATCCATCTCCTCCTAATCACCTTAGATGAAGTCATCATTTGCAGTGCATTACCCATAGTTTCATAAATTATAGATTTTCACATTTAAATTAACAGAAAATTATTTAATGTAACGGTCAAATGATGAAGTCATCATTTGCAGTGCATTAAATTTCTCTCACAAGTACCCTCTCTTCATCATTTAGAGTGCATTAAATTTCTCTCTAAAGTACCCTCTCTTTAAAACTACTTTGCTTCTCTTCCGTCACTTCTCTTTCTCTCTCTCAGCCACAACCTCCCATTTCTCTCAACTCACCGCCATTGTTAGTGTTGTCGTGGACCGTTTTCTGTGGATCCATATCGAATTTCTCACCCAAATCGACAAGATTCATCACCCTCACCTCAAATCAAATTGTCCGTTTTGGCCAGAATTTCATGATCCCCCCAGTCAATGGTAGTGAGTTGGAAAAATGGGGTTTTAACGCTTTTACCCTTCAATTTTTAAAATTAAAAAAAAAAAAATTGTGTTAGATTAAGGGTGGGTATCTAGAATAGATAAAACCAAAGGTGTGAACATAGAAATTTCGGTAAACCTCGGGTGGGATTATTTGGTTTGCTGTTTTTCTGAACACCCTATGCCAAACGGCACTTACAGGCAAAGGCCTAACAAATCCCTTCATTACATGGGACGTTTAGACAGCGTCACCGTATTGTCGCATGATGATGCCTGACGAGAGGGGATAAGCCTTGAAGATATTAAGGACCCACTTGAAACGAAAGAATAATGGATAAGAATTAAGAGGACCCCACCTCTCCGCTTCCTACAGAGGAAAACTCCTACTTACGAAACGACACCCTTCCGCAGAACACGCTTACGGGATAATGCTGGCCCCACACTATTTTCATGTTACAATTTTCTAATCCCATACATTTAGTCAAACCCCATTATAATTGCTCTAACTTAAAAATTTAAATAATTTTGTCCTTCCGCTGTGGCCTTCATCCATCTTTAACATGTGACGTTAACTTATTTAAATTTATGTGTATTTCCTTAATTCCAATTATCTCCCTTTTTATCTATAATATATATAAATGTATATAAATTCAAACTCTGTGAATAATATATAAGTTTCTTGTATAAATTTTATTCAAATATCTATTATTTCTTTTTTATATATATATATAAATTGGATCTTAACTCTTAATCACAAGAAATATAATATGCAATACTTTTGTCTTTTATTGGTAGAAAAAGGCAAATTTTACCATTATAAATTTAACTTTAAAAATAATTTCAAGACTAATAATTGCTTAATAAACTTTAAAAATAATAATTATTAATTTTTTACTTTTCTTGTGTCGGTTGAGTTATATTAAAAGCACCCATCAAATTCAAACATTTTATCTAACAAGTTTACCTAAAAATTTAAACAACAATAATGTAATGCGTAAGTTGGTAACATATTTGTGGATATGTTGGGGACCCATCTAAAGATATTCATATAATTGGTATAAAGTAGGGGCCGGGTGATGGGACAAATATTGTGGTCCAATAATCAAGAATCCACATGTGAAAATAGAAAAAAAATCTAACTGGTCATGGCATTGATGTGGAATGGAACAACCAACCGAAATGCGGCCTTGCGTTGACGTGGATTGTCTCTATTGGAAGAGTGACTTGGCCAAAATATTTAAGGCAGGACAAGAAGGAGAAAGAATCAAAGAAAATGGATATGTTTTTAAATTAAAGAAAAATGAATAATTTTAAATTTATAGATATTGAATGTGTGAAAAGTCCGTACCAGATTATGGGTTTGAAAGCAATGAAAGGATTGAGGAGAGTCAGTTGGGTGATAGTGCATTTAAAGATCCCTGGCCCTGTCCCCTAGATTTTATCCTCATCGGTTTCTCCAACTACATCTATAATTCTATACCCTTTTCGTTTCTCTTATTTACGCTTCTGCCATTCTCTTTCTTTTCTTCTGATTGATTCCCATGCATTACTCTCAACTTTTATTTACTAATTAATCAAAACAATTTAACAAGGAAGGAAGACATTTTAACTACATAATAATAATAATAATATTATTATTATTATTAAAAAATTGTTAAAAATACTAATTATAATTTAAAATACATAAGCTTACATAAAATTTATTAAGTTATTGAACAAATTGTAGTTGTATGTATAAGATTTATATATATTATTCCAAAAAGTCGGGTGACTCTTCAATCTAGAGATTTCAAATGTCAAATCTAAACTAAAAGTGTTAATGACAAATATTTGAGATTTTTCAATGTTCAATTATTGTTTCATATGTGTGAATTGAATCGATCCTACGTCTAAGAGAAAAAAAAGATAGAGATAAAAGATCGAATAAGTCGTTGAAATATTCAAAAATACACTATGAAATGGTGCAGAGGATAAGACATTAGGGTTGTAAACGAGCCGAGTCGAGTATCATCCTAAACGAGTCTGACTCGGTTGAACATTAGATGAATTTGAGTCGAGTCACGAGTCAGCTGAGTCAAGAAAATTTGACTCGTGACTCGACTTGTTTATAATCAAGCCGATTCATGACTTGACTCGAGCTCGATTGACTCGAATTGAAAAGCTCGATACTCGATTAACACGAGCTCGATTATGGCTCAATTACGACTTGTTTGACATTTTTTTATATAACATGCAGATCTTGTTTTACACAAATCAGATTAAATTTTTGGTAAATTTCATCCAAATCAACATAAATCACATCAAAATACATCAAAAAATTACACAACATAAACAATGATTAGTAGTGTGAAAATAGAGTTTATGATTTTGGAGAAATCGTTTATAAGATTTGGGTTAAATGGGGTTGAGGATTAATTTGCGATTTTTTAAATCTTTTGTATGTCAAATTACAAGATAGACTTAAAACTTGTATTTTTTACAGAAAAACTCTAAATGAGCCACTATTGACTCACGAGCCGAGTTGGAGTAGACTTGAAATCGACTCGGTATCTAATTCGAGTCTTATTCAAGCTGGTTCGACTTGACTAAACTTGAGTTGAGTTCGAGTATTTAACAAATCGAGCCAAGTTGACTCGCTAGCCGCTGATGACACCCCTATAAGACATTGAATTATGTTAACCTTTTTTTTTATTGAAAATGTTGGGGACCGATATTAATCGAAGGAGATTAGTCTTTTGAAACTTTATCTTAATGCCTGTACAAACTAGGAAAGGTTATTTTGGTAAATAAAACGTTGGGGGGGAAAAGTGAAAACATAACAAAATGGGTAAAGTAGTAAATGGCTGTCTTATCCAAAATGATGGATGCCAGCTTGGATATGAAATAGCGTGGTCGAGCAGCCGCATGCATTGTCGGTTCAAAATCTCTCTCTTACTTACCAAATTTTTTAATTTTATTAATTTCTTGCTTTTTTAATTTAATTTAATTTAATTTTCTGTGGGCGTTAAAGTTGTTTATTTAATTATTTTCATTTCACCAGCTGTTACTTATCAATTTACAGCTCATATTCTGGTACAAAGTTATCTTTCAGAAAAGGATATCTCTGTGCCCAAACATGTGGTTACCAAAAGTAAAAATTTTTCTTTTTCCAATTATAAGGAGGTAATCATTTTATTGAAGAACAATAAGGTGCGTTGATTAAGATAAACCTATCCTCATCCCCTCATTTTTACTTTCCGATAAATCAAATTAAATATAAAACTGATTTATTATTTATAAAATTAAAAAAACTCCTATTCTCAATGTTTTTTTCTTCATAATAATTAAGTTAAATAAAATAAAAGTAAAATAGTCAAGGCCAATTCTATGTTTATCTTTCTGTGAGAAGAAGTGTGAAGGTCAACTTTATTATATTACAAATTAATAATAAATAGCAATATAAATTAATTTATTATTTGAGGATAATGTTATGTATTGTGATAATGAAGACTTACTTTTGTTTGGTCTTCGGTGGCGTAGGAGATCCGTCTATGTTTAAGGTTTAGATTTACTTCAATTTTTCTAAATAAACCCTTTCAACAAAATTTACATCTTTATAGTAATAAAAAGAATTGGTGAAAATATTTAATAATTAAATTAAAATATAAAAATAATTTATTCATAGAAAAAAAATAAATATTTATAAAGTAATGTTAATTTTACAACTCAATCTCATATATATTTTTGATAATTGAAGTATTCGATCCAACTTACGTATATTTTAACTAATCTTTAAGATCGATTGAATACTTTATAAACTTAACAAATAAGATAAGTTACACAATTATACGTTAAAATAAGTGGTTTCAATGTTCAGAACTTATAATATTAAATAAGAGGTTCTTTAACCACCATAGGTTTGATATTTATATATTAAGTAAGCCAAAATAGAAAGTGAAGTGAAAAAGGCGAAAGGGGCAATGACGTAGTTAAGTTGGAAAGAGAGGGGCAAATATGGAAGAACGGAGACATAAGATTATAACGTAAGACCAACTGGACTTCCAATCGAACTGTACAAACAGAGGCTTTTTCTCTCTGGATTTCTATCCATAATTTTTTTTGACTTTTAATATTCTACGTTTAATCTCTTTCTTCTTTGTTGAATGAACAAGCACCAAACACCCAACCCAACCAAGCCAAACGGATCCTTAAAAATTTTCAATTCTCTCTTCACTTTTGTTGCTTCCGCAATAATCTCACCAGCTTTGAACCTAACTCACCTCTCCTCCATAATATCTCATATTCTACTCATCATTTCTGTCATCTCCGTATATATCTTTATCTCCTAAGTTTGATTCATATCTCTTCTTTCTCTCTTCCATCTATCCGGGCTTTCATTTCCTTTCTTTCTGTGTTTTGGTACGTTTTTTTGGTGGGAAAGTGTTGGAAGAATAATGGGCATTTTTATGGTTGATATTTGAGTTTTACTCAGCTGGTTCACTGACTTTTTCTATGTTTCTGTTGTTTTTGATGGTTGTGGCAGAGAAATCTTAGTCCTCTGTGCCATCAAACAGCTTCATATAAGTTCACTCGCTGGATCATTGTGATTCTACGTTACTGCTGCTTTTTATGTCAGTTTAAAGTCTTTAAGGTAACTTATTTTAATCTACTCTCTCCCTCTCGGTTTTTCGCTTTCTTTGTATATTTATATATATGCATGATGGGTGTAGATGTACATAAGTTAAGAGGTTTGAGATCTGGGTTTGATGTTGCTACAGTCGGTTTGAGCTCTATTGTCTCTGCAAATATTCTTCTTTCTTTCTCTATGATCGTGTGCATCGTTTTCTTTGCAGAATAATTGGCATTTGCTCTTAAAGCTCAATTTTCTTACAAAAAAAAGTTCCAGAAGCACTTATATCTTCAACAGTCTCCTGTCTCCCGTCATTTTGTTTTTATTTTTTTCTTCTCATCTCTCTCCTTTCCATATACACAGAAAAGGTTATTTTTTTTTTATTATTATTATTATTGATTTGTAACGTTTCCTAAGTTTTTTTTTGTGTTTGCTTTTGTTTTTAAGCTGAGAAAACAGTTAATGAGGCATAAAAAAAGCATCATTTAAACTGTATGGAGCTGATTATTGGAAGTAATTTATAACATCTTGTTTGTTCTCATAGAAATTTCTCTACGCCAACAAAATCACAAAAAGAAAAAAAAAAAGATGAAAACGTATAACACAGATTATTGATATGCACATAATATAGCGATTCTGTTATAATGGATTTATCAGTGCATCCGCTGATGCAAACAAATAGCGCTTTAAGAACTTGGAAATTAAACAAATGAATATACGATTAGGAAAGTCTCGGCCAGTACTTACTTTTTTGGTATGTTATCAGTGATGACTTATCTATTAATTCAAGGTTACGGTGATACATGTATATTTCATTAATAGAGACTTCTTCCATTTGTCTCTATTAATTTATAGATAAGTTCACTTAATCAAAATTTTGTCTTTTTAAGGAACTGTTTTTTCTTTAAGTAATGAAGCCCTCTTATAAAATATGGAAGTAGAAAACTTTGTTCTATGGAAAGATATTAACTTTTTTTTTTTCAATTTTATGCTATTTTGGATAGGCGATTTTTTTGAACAAAACAATGAGGTAAGAATGAAACAATCTAGAGGTATTACAAAATCAAACAAGTAAGCAATCACAAATATCAAACTAGTAAAGAGATAAAAAATACATGCTATTTAATCTAGTTCACTTAATAAACAGGTCACGTCCAGGTCTAGTATAGTCAATATTATTAGAATATTATTTCACCTCTCTAGTTACAATGAATTTATTTGCTCTATAATTTGCTATCATACTCATACAAGAGAATAATAAGTTTACCTTGAATATGTTTGCCTCGCATCTTATTGTTGAAGTGGTTGACAACTCAACAAAGATTACGTACGTTTGTCTTGCCAGATTGAATTCATTAATGAAATGTGCTCATTCTGCCGTAATTAGAAGCCAAATAAGGTGATTTAATGACTTCGCTGGAAAGGAATGATATGAAGGGATGTATACACGTGATTACGTTGTACTAATAAATATTACTTTGATTACCTCATTGGTTAAATGGATATTTGTTTTCATTTCACCTTCTCCCTAGTGTTTTGTGTATAAAAAAGGCTTAGAACGATAATAAAATCCATATGACACAACTGATTTTTGCTTTTCAGGTGATGATATTTGGTGCATATATATTTTTTGTTCCTTTTATCTTTTCATTCAATCGTATTCCATCTCTAAATATATTTTCTTTTTATCCTTTCATTACAAGATCAGCACTATGAACAATTTTTCTCATTCTACCATTTACATTTAGTTATTACAGTTATTTATGGTTGAATTCATGAAACGGCACTATTCTGTGCAATAATTATGTATCGGTGACTAGTTTAATCTAGTAAAGGTTCACGTTGGAACTGTTCTTTCTCACTTAGTTGTTCGTTTTGATGTGCTATTGTTATGTTTCCTTGGTGCCTTCGAAATCTGTTTATATGATGGTGAGAGCTGATTGTCCCTTCATATGGTAATTTATTTTATGCTGAGGGCTAATTTATCATAAATTATTATTGGATAATTGTTCTTTTAAGATGTTATGTTGATATAGGATAGCATGCACAAAGTTTGAAGGGCTCTTTTTTGTGAAGTATCTACAATTCATAAAGAATTTAAGGCTTCTTTCTTTCCTATTTCATTGTTTCCTTTCCTTATTATGTTGATTGGCCTTAGGTCTATACAATATTTATATAGCTAGACATGACATGATCCTTTTATCATAGTGGTTTTGATCATAATCATTGCTTCACCGGCATTTGAGTATTTGTTGATTATATACTTTCTGATGGACTCGAAATATCCAGCTGGTATTCACGTAAGATAGGGAAGGGGAGAAAAGGGCAAAAGGGGTAAATCACGTGGGGATAGGTGTCTTGTTAGTTATTAGAATCTAGTGTCAGAATAAAGGGCAGTGGTAGCAGGAGTAGAGGACATCTTTGTTTTTGTGCATGAATTGAGTCTAGGAGGTGCTGGCCCTCGAAGACCAGCTGGGTGCTACTGTTTCATTCCTAAAACTGATTGTTATCCTTTCTGATTCTTATTAAGACTGAATATACAACTTTTACTATCTTTGATATATTGTTTGTGGATTGTTGTTGCTTGTTACCTTTTTTGACGATTATTAAACTGTGTTGAGATACGGTTGTTGGTGTGTTTGGTGTGGTGATTCAGTTGAGGTCTCTGGTTTCCATCAATCTGGTATCAGAGCTCGTGGATCATTTGGGGTATGGTTGGTACTAGAATGGAGAACAGGGTTGAAAGTGTGGAGAAGGAAATAATGGTGGTTCAGAGGGACGTCGCCAAGGTAACTGAAACAGTGAACTCGATGAGGGAAATTTTAATGGACATGCAAAACTGGATGCGAAGAAGAGACGAAGAGGAAGAAGAGCGACGGAGAAATTTGTCTGAAGAATTCAATCGAGATAGGGAAGGGCGCATTAAACATGGCCCTCACGGAGGACAGGGAGATTTAGTTGGGAACCAGGGTGGAGAAGGGTCGAATCAAGGCGGAGAAGGGTGGAACCGTCGAGACTTGGGTGGTCGGAAACTGAAGCTACCCCTCTTTTCCGGTGAGGACCTGTACGGGTGGATCTTCCGAGTGGAGCGATATTTCGTGATGAACTAGATCCACAACGAACAGAAAGTTTCGTCAACAGCCTTCTGCATGGTAGGAGAAGCACTCCACTGGTACCAATGGACAGAATCGAGGACGGCGACGATGACCTGGCCAGTTTTCAAGGTCGCGTTGTTGCAGCGATTTAGTGGAACACAAGAGGTCAGCCCCTTAGAGCTGCTGATGTCGATACGGCAAGAAGGATCAGTGTTGGATTTTCGCCAGCGATTTGAGGAGATCACGACACTAACACAGGCCGAGAGAGAGGGCGTTTTGATGGCGGCTTTCCTAAATGGGCTGAAGTCATAAATCTGGGCAGAGATTAAACTGCAGCAACCAGATTTGTTGACCCGACCCAACTCCCTGACCCAGGTGACCTTACTAGTCCAATGTGTGGAAGAAAGAAACATGGCCTTGGAGGAAGCCCAAGCAGGCCTGGGCCGAACAGGTAAGTATGGGCATAAAACTTATGGGCCCAAGCCCAATTCTAATTCACCTAGACAAGATGATAATATGAAGGCCCACCTTCCAAATACAACTTACCCCTCACCTAGATCAGTCAACGAAACTCACATTTTCTTCCAAAACACAACTCCCAACTGAAGGTTCCCATCTGAAAACCACGGCAGCTTAGGGTCAACGATTTCAAACAACAGCAGAACCAGTGCATTCCGACGAGAATTTCCGTTCAAGAAATTGACTGAGGCTGAGAGACAAAGGAAATAGAACGAGGCTTGTGCTACCAATGTGATGCAAGGTACTCACCGGGGCATAAATGTGGAGAGAAGCAATTCCAGGTACTGTTAGTTGATGAAGAGGAAAGTAGGGAGGAAGAGATAATTAATGAAGAAGAAATAATGGATGAGGAAGTACCCAAAGCAGTTGAGTTATCAATTAGTTTGATAGTTGGGATCAATGGGCCTAAAACCATGAAATTGAGTGGCGAAATTAGCGGTAGGGAAGTTATGGTTTTAATTGATAGTGGGGCATCACATAACTTCATAAACAGGGGCCTAGTGGAGGAGCTTCAGATTTCGGTAACAGCTACTAAAACATTTGGGGTGAGGGTTGGTGACGGCTATAATGTTAAATGTCAAGGAGAGTGTAAAGGGGTGTGTCTGAGGTTGCAGAGAGTTGACACAGTACTGAATTTTTTTCCGTTTGAGATAAGTAATGCTGATGTTATTTTGGGTACAGCTTGGCTGGAAATGTTGGGTGAAACGACCACAGATTGGAAGAAGCTTGTGATGAAATTTTGATGTTTGCGAGCAATGGTAACACTGCAAGGAGATCTAGCTTTGTGCAAAACTATGGTGTCACTTAAGGGGATGTTGAAGACGCTACAAACCGAGGGCCCAGGATATTACATTGAGTTCAGGAATATGCAGCTACAATCAACAGAGGAACCAGGTCATGATGAGCTAGTTAGAAATTTGTTACAACAACATCAGGAGTTGTTTGAATCCCCATCAGGACTTCCACCGGTCAGGGTACACGACCATGTAATCAGACTTGCGGCAGGAAGCCAACCCCCTAATATCAGGCCCTATAGGTACCCCTATTATTTAAAGAATGAAATTGAGAATATTGTTCGAGATATGTTGGTATCCGGAATTATAAAACTGAGCAAAAGTCCATACTCAAGCCCTATGTTGTTGGTGAAGAAAAAAGATGGTGGGTGACGATTTTGCGTGGATTACAGGGCTTTGAATAAGATTACGGTGCCTGACAAATTTTCAATTCAGACAGTTGACGAATTATTCGATGAATTGGGAGGGGCTTCGGTGTTCACTAAACTCGATCTTAAATCAGGTTATCATCAGATTCGGGTAAAGGAAGATGACACTTACAAGACCGTTTTCCGCACCCATGAAGGTCACTACGAATTCCTGGTAATGCCCTTCGGATTGTTGAATGCTCCTTCAGCCTTTCAAGGCCTCATGATTGATATTTTCAAGCCGTATTTGCGACGATTTCTGTTGGTTTTCTTTGACGACATCCTGGTCTATAGCCTGGATATAGTAGCCCACAGAGACCACTTGAGTATCACCTTTCAGACCTTGAAGCAGCACCAGTTAGTAATGAACAAAAAGAAGTGCACATTCGCTCAATCTTGGTTGGAGTATTTGGGCCACATAATTTCACCAGAGGGAGTGGCAGTTGACCCAGCGAAGATTGAGTGTATCCTAGCATGGCTGACACCTAAAGACATCAAGGCCTTAAGGGGATTCCTCGGGTTAACTGGGTATTACCGGAAGTTTGTTAAGGGATATGGCACGTTGGCAAGACCTCTCATTGTGCTACTTTGCAAG